CCCCCCCCCCCCCCCCCCCCCCCCCCCCCCCACCCACCCATTCCCTTACCCATCCATCCCCATCCATACCAGTAGACATCCATGCGTCTCCTCATCCATATATCCATCCATTCCTCCCCATAGACATCCGTTCATCCATCCATCCATCCTTCCACCCCCACTGACAGCCTTCCATCCATCCATCCATCCATCCATCCACCCCCACCGACAGCCTTCCATCTACCTATCCATTCATCCATGACCATCCCCATGCATCCATCCCCACTGATCCCTATAGAAAGTCATCCATGTATCTTTTCATTCATTCATTCATTCATTCATTCATTCATTCATTCATTCATTCATTCATCTACCCCATACTCATCTATCTAGTCATTCAATCTGCTTCACACACTGTCTGTCTGTCAATCCCCCCATACACTTCCATCCACACTCCTCTATCTGTTGAATGGCCGGCAGACAGGTCATGGAGGTTGGGATATGGGAAGCATCTTCCCAGGAAGGTCCCCGCTGGTGGCTGCTGTCCTCACCCACTGCAAATCAAAGGGAGCGGGAGGGGAAGGGGCCGGAACCCCGGAAGACGCGCTGACCTGTGGTGGCGTCGGTGGACACGGGGCCGAGGCGCTTGCGGCCGGAGATGCCGTAGAGGTTGAACTTGTATCTGTGGGACGGGGCCAGGTTGGTTACTGTGACTGTGCGGGATCCCCCGTCCACGGGCAGCTCCTGGGGTTTGCCCTCTGCGTCCTTGTACTGGAGGAGGAAGGAGTCGAAGTCCCCGGCCTGGACGGTCCAGGAGAGCAGGATGGAGTCGTGGGTGAAGTCAGAGGCCGAGAGCTCCCCCAGACTGGACTCGGGGGCGGGTTCCTCCTTCCGCCGCGCTGCGGTGGGAACAGAGAGAGGGGGGTGAGGGGTGCGGCCAGGGTGGGGGGAGGCTCACCGGATCCTTGGGAAGCCGGAATATTCCCAGCGACAGGGGATCTGCAGAGAGGATTAGTGGGGGGAGGGTGCAGGGAGCCTCAGGGACTGGTCCCAGGACACAGCCAAATCCTGACCCTGGAAAGGAGAGGTGGGGACAGACAGACGGACGGGGCATGTCTGCAAAGAGGATCCCACATTCCTGGGTTCCCCTCAGCCACCCCGCCTCCATGGAGGGGTCGGCCCAGAGTGACCGGCACAAACCACGGGCACAGCTGAGCTGAGATGGGAGGAGAGGGGGGAAGAGAAGAACGAGAAAAAAGAGAAGGGGGTGAATCAAACCCTCCAACATCAATGGAAAGATCCCCATTGACACCCAACCAGCCCTATACACATGCCTCCATTCCCATCATCCATTTTCATTCATATCCATCCGCCTTCATTAATACCCAGTGTCTACCCATCCCTTCCCACACATCCTTCTACCAGTCATTCATCCCACACACCCATCCTTCCATCTTTTCAACCACATCCATCCTTCTACTCATCCATGTATCATTCCATCCATTCTCCGATACAGCCCTCCATCCCCATTCATCCATCCTTCTACCCTTCCATCTATCATTCCATCCGTTCCCGGAAACAGCCCTCCATCCCCATTCATCCATCCTTCTACCCGTCCATCTATCATTCCATCCGTTCCCGGAAACAGCCCTCCATCCCCATTCATCCATTCATCCATCCTTCTACTCATCCATTGATCATTCCATCCATTCCCAGATACAGCCCTCCATCCATCCACATGCATCTATCCATCCGCTCCATCCCCATCCATTTGCATCCCCATCCATCCATCTCCTTATGCATCCATCCCCATCCCCATTCATCCATCTCCTTATGCATCCACCCCATACACATCCATTCATCTCTCCATCCGCTCCATCCCCATCTATCACCATACACATCCATCCATCTCCTTATCCATCCATCCCCACACATCCATCCATCTCCGCACCCATCCATCCCCATACATCCATCCATCTCCACACCCATCCATCCCCATCCACATCAATCCATCTCCCTATCCATCCATCCGAATCCACATCTGTGACGAACTGGGCCTGTTCTCACTGTGGTCTGTGAATGCTGACAGGGGAGTGTGGCTGGGATAGTCTGCATTGGAGGATGGGATCTGCCCGAGGGCGCATTCCTGAGTGTGTAACACGAGAACCCAGGAAGGGGTTGAAGGCCAGGTGACTCCTGAGCCCGGGAAACTGAACAAAGGCTGTGGGAGGGGTCGCTGAGGGGAGAGTGCTGGAAGCGAGCTGGAGAGATGGCTGGGAGACAGAGATGGCTCTGACCCCCCCGAAGGGGGGTGGGCTGGAATGCCCTGGGACCCCAAGCTGGACTTAACTGGGGGGGTCCTGTTGTCTGTGCCTGCAAGACCTGTCTTGGACTATATTCCTGTCATCCAAATAAACCTTCTGCTTTACTGGCTGGCTGAGAGTCATGGTGAATCGCAGGAAGCCGGGGGTGCAGGGCCCTGAGTTCCCCAATACTCCGTGACAACATCCATTAATCTCTCCATCCGCTCCATCCCCATCCGCATCCATCCATCTCATTATCCATCTATCCCCATCTGCATCCATTCATCTCCTTATGCATCCACCCCCATACGTATCCATTCATCTATCCATCCGCTCCATCCCCATCCATCCACATCCCCATCCACCCATCTCCTTATCCATCCATCCCCATCCATCCATCTCCTTATCCATCCATCCCCATACACATCCACTCCATCTATACATACACTCCATCCCTGTCCATCCCCATACACATCCACCGATCTCCTTATCCATCCATCCCCATACACATCTATACGTCTCCTTCTCCATCCATCCCCATACACATCCATCCATCCATCTATCCATCCGCTCCATCCCCATCCATTCATCTTCTTATCCATCCATCCGCCATCCATCTCCTTCTCCATCCCCATACACAGCCATTAATCAGTCTATCCATCCATGAGATCCCCTCCCTCCCTCCATCCATCCATCCCCACCAATTTCCATACACAGACATCTATCTATCTATCTATTCATGCATTCATCCATGCACCCCATACACATAGATCCATCTCTCTGTCTGTCTATCCACCCATCCATCCCCATCCAAACTCCTCTATCTATAGAATGGCCGGTAGACAGGTCATGGTGGTTGGAGTCTGGGAAGCGCCTGGCGGCTGCTGTCCCAACCCCACTGCAAAGCAAAGGGGGTGGGAGGGGAAGGGGCTGGCACCCCGGGAGCTGCTGCTGACCTGTGGTGGCGTCGGTGGAGACGGGGCCGAGGCGCTTGCGGCCGGAGATGCCATAGAGGTTGAACTTGTATCTGCGGGACGGGGCCAGGTTGGTTACGGTGACTGTGCGGGATCCCCCGTCCACGGGCAGCGCCTGGGGTTTGCCCTCCGCGTCCTTGTACTGGAGGAGGAAGGAGTCGAAGGTCCCCTCCTCCACGGTCCAGGAGAGGAGGGTGGAGTTGTGGGTCACACCGGAGGCTGAAACTTTCCCCAGGCGTAGCTGCGTCCCGGCTCCCTTGTCCCGCGGTACCGCGGCTGGAACAGAGAGAGGGGCACGGGGTGTGGGAACACCTGGACAGGCAAATAGAGGCAGCCCCTGCCTGCTGGAGCAATGGGTGCAGGCTCTCTGCAGACCCAGGCAGCGTAGCCCTGGGATCGGAGCAGGAGGGCCACCCCGGTGGGGTGGGACTGATGGAGTAGAGGGCGTAGTGGGAGCAAAGCCCTCCGACATTGAGTTCCTCAGGGAAAGGGGCAGAGACGTGGCTCATGGAGCAGGGTAGGTGTGGGGGGGGGGCGGGGAAGGAAGGAGCGATGGGTGGGGTGTAGGAAAGGGAGAAAGAAGTATCAGGAAAGGGGTGGGAGCAGATTTGTATGACCCTCCCCCTCCACTCCCCGAGGGGCTTCCCAGCTCCTGGAGCCCCAGACCGAGTCTCTGCGGGCCCTGCCCAATGGACGGCAGCTAACCCTGAGCCCAGCCCCAGGCCTGATGTGGGGTGGGCACAGAGGGACTGGCCGCCCCTGCTGGGCTCTGGGGAGGCGGCTGCGTGGGGCAGGTGACCTGGACTGGCAGCCCGGGGGCAGGGCCCAGCCAGCGAGGGGACGGGCGGGCACTACCCTGGAGGGCTCCGGTTCGGGGGCTGCAGACGCAGGTGGGCTCAGGGGTCCCTGCTGCGCCCCACGGAGGGGTTGGTGCTGCTCTGAGACGCCAGGTTCTCAGACGTGGCAGCTCCAGCCCCGCGGTGACCAGCGTCCCATGGAGAGGGCGCCGGCCCGGCCCGGACAAGAGCCAGCGAGCCCCAGGGGCCAGCGAGCGGGGGCCAGGCAGGAGCGGACCCTGCCCCCTGGGGGATTATGGGGGGACCCTGGTTTGAGACAGTCAAAGCCACCAGGCAGCAGCACCTGTCTCAGGGCCCCCAGCCTGCGGGTGCCAGGGGGGTATGGACGTGCCAGGCGAGTCCGTGAGCATGGGGGGGTGGAAACTGGCTCCGTTCTCCACCTGTCCTATGTGTTAACCCGACCACACTGCAAAGCAAAGGGGGCGGGAGGGGAAGGGGAAAGCCACTGACCTGTGACGGCGTCGGTGGAGACGGGGCCAAGGCGCTTGCGGCCGGAGACGCCGTAGAGGTTGAACTTGTATCTGTGGGAGGGGGCCAGGTTGGTTACGATGAACGTGCGGGATCCCCTGTCCACAGGCAGCGACTGGGGCTTGCTCTCCGCGTCCCGGTACTGCAGGAGGAAGGAGTCGAAGGTCCCCTCTGTGGTCCAGGAGAGCAGGGTGGAGTTGTGGGTGACGTCTGAGGCCGAGAGCTCCCCCAGGCTGGGATGGGCAGTGGGTACCTCCTTCCGTGGTTGTGCAGCTGGAACAGAGGGGGTGTGTGAAGGGGGCGGCTGGAGTCAGGGGTGGGTTGCCTGGTCCTTGGCGGGGGGCTACTAATTCCTAGCCAGAGGGGATCTGCAGAGAGGATTAGCAGGGGAGGGTGCAGGGAGCCCCGGGACACAGCCGGATCCTGCAGCCGGGAAGGAGAGCTGGGGACAGACAGACGGACGGGGCATGTCTGCAAAGAGGATCCCACATTCCCGGTTCCCCGCGGTCACCCCGCCCCGTGGGGGAGTCGGCCCAGAGTGACCGGCACAAACCTCGGTGAGACTTGAGCTGAGACGGGAGGAGTGAGGGGGAAGGAAGAACAAATGAGAGAGAAAGAGAAGGGGGTGAACCAAACCCTCCAATATCAATGGAAAAATCCCCATTGACACCCATCCAGCTCCAGACGCTCCTCCAAACATCCCACCATCCTCATACGCACCCATTCATCTATCCGTCCATCCATAACTATCCCCTCCATCCACATCGATGCCCATAGACAGCCATCCATCCATCCATCCATCCATCCCCATTCAGAGCCATCCATCTATCTATTCATTGATTGATCCATGCACCCCATGCACATCGATCCATCTGTCTAGCCACCCATCCAAACTCCTCCACCCCTGGAATGGCCGGTAGACGGGTTGTAGAGGTTGGAATCTGGGAAGCGTCTTCCCAGGAAGGTCCCGGCTGGCAGCTGCTGTCCCCACCCACTGGAAAGCAAAGGGGGTGGGAGGGGAAGGAGATGGCACCCACGGGAAAAGCCGCTGACCTGTGACGGTGTCGGTGGAGATGGGGCCGAGGCGCTTGTGGCCGGAGACACCGTAGAGGTTGAACTTATATCTGTGGGAGGGGGCCAGGTTGGTTACGATGAACGTGCGGGATCCCCCGTCCATGGGCAGCTCCTGGGGTTTGCCCTCCGCGTCCTTGTATTGGAGGAGGAAGGAGTCGAAGGTCCCTTCCACGGTCCAGGAGAGCAGGATGGAGTCGTGGGTGACGCTGGAGGCTGAGAGCTCCCCAAGGCTGGGCTGGGGGGTGGGTTCCTCCTGCGGCACCGCGACTGGAACAGAATGAGGGGGGTGAAGAGCGTGGCCAGGGTGGGGGCATGTCTGGAAACAGGATCCCACATTCCCGGGTTCCCCACGGACATCCCGCCTCCCTGTCGGGGTCGGCCCATAGTGACGGGCGCAAACCTTGGTGAGAGCTGAGCTGAGACGGGAGGAGAGAGGGGGAACGAAGAACAAACAAGAGAGAAAGAGAAGGAGGTGGATCAAAGCCATGAACGTCAATGGAAAGATCCCCAGTCACACCCATCCAGCCCCAGACACGCCCATTCCACCGTCTTCATACGCTCCCCCATCCATCGATCACCCATGCACAGCTACATCCATCTATCCAGGAATCCTCGACCCTACCCAGCATAGCCCTTGTACCTCCCACTGCAAAAGGGTTCCCAGACACGCTCATGTCTGCCATGCATCCCCCCAAACACCCATCCAGTTCTGTAAACTCCATCCATCCCCATCCGCATCCACTCATCTCCTTATCCATCCATCCCCATACACATCCACTCATCTCCTTATCCATCCATCCCCATCCACATCCATCCATCTCCTTATCCATCCATCCCCATACACATCCATCCATCTCCTTATCCATCCATCCCCATACACATCCATCCATCTCCTTATCCATCCATCCCCATACACATCCATCCAT